CCATAGGTTCGTGGATTTATCTCTGGGCTTTCTATTCTGTTCCATTGATCTATATTTCTGTCTTTGTGCCAGTACCATACTGTCTTGATGACTGTGGCTTTGTAGTATAGTCTGAAGTCTGGCAGGTTGATTCCTCCAGTTCCATTCTTCTTTCTCAAGATTACTTTGGCTATTCGAAGTTTTTTGTATTTCCATACAAACTGAGAAATTATTTGTTCTAGTTCTGTGAAAAATACCGTTGGTAGCTTAATAGGGATTGCACTGAATCTATAGATTGCTTTGGGTAGAATAGCCATTTTGACAATGTTGATTCTTCCAATCCATGAACACAGTATGTTTCTCCATCTGTTTGTGTCGTCTTTGATTTCTTTCATCAGTGTTTTATAGTTTTCTATGTATAGGTCTTTTGTCCAGTTTCTAACTGTTGCTTCTTGAGCTGCATACAGGTTTCTCAGGAGGCAGGTAAGGTGGTCTGGTACTTCAGTCTCTTTAAGAATTTTCCATAGTTTGTTGTGATTGACAGAGTTAAAGGCTTTAGCATAATCAGTGAAGCAGAAATAGATGTTTTTCTGTAATCTCTTGCTTTTTCTATGATCCAGTGCATGTTGGCAGTTTGATCTCCTGTTCCTCTGCCATTTCTAAATCCAGCTTGTACATCTGGGAGTTCTCAGTTCACATATTGTTGAAACCTAACTTGAAGGATTTTGAACATTACCTTGCTAGCATGTGAAATGAGTGCAGTTGTGCGGTAGTTTGAACATTCTTTGGCATTGCCCTTTTTTGGGATTGGAGTGAAAATTGACCTTTTCCAGTCCTGTGGCCACTGCTTAGTCTTCCAAATTTATTGACAAAATGAACAATGCTAAAGGAAAAAAGGAAACATTCTATTTACAATAATCTTGGATGTGATGAATTCAAAGTAGTCGCTACCAAAGTGTTAACAAATTATTTGATCTTCCTTCTAGAGGAGACGGACCTGGGATCATGGGAGTCAGAAGGCACTGAAGGGGGACAGGATGGGAGGAGAGACTGGGGGTGGGGCTGGGATGGGGCTGAAGTTCATTTCTCCTTTCCATTCATGCTGAGTTACCAACAGGCACTGGTCATATCAAACTCATGTTCTTCATTTTGAACAGTCAAAACAAGGCAACAGGGAGAGCCCTGCACTCACCTCCTTTATCTTCTGTCACTTGCTCTTGAGAGAATGTTTTAAATTAGTCTTTGTGTTGACAGTTATCTCATGAAAGCAGGAACTTCTGTAGGAAACATACACATGATGCTAGAATTCTTAAGAAAGGTGATGATGGAATTCTCAAATCTCTATCAAAATCACAGCTTTAAATTCTGTATCTACAAGGTAGTGAAAATTACTAACCCTATACTTTGTCATGATAGAGTGTCCTCAAACCACTATTTTGACAGAATCGTATTCCATGTTTTACCATAATAAGGTAAGTTATATGCTAAACTGAAGTATTCTGTTATCCATTCTACACACCAGTTGTCTTTTGATTGTCTTTGTACATTATCCTAGATTTCACACTTGTATAGTACCTTCTAATATCTATTGTTTTTCAAGTTCATTCTGAGAATTTTGGGTAAAGTGAACTAAAATTTTATCTTGTCACATTTATCAATTGGCTTTGAAAAAAGCAATAAAGTTATCCACATTATCAAAAAGTAGACACTGTTCTGCTTTTTAAAATGTTTATTTTCTAGTTACTGAGGTATAATTTTTTTTGTTATGCTCTTTACCAATATCCTAATGCTTTTAAAAATCTTTGTTAAACATTCTGTTTCCAGCCTCAAACACATGTTTTAACAGGTACAGATACTGGAACATTGCAATGTTTTCTGTTATTTCAATAAAAATTAATTTTAACTGACTTCTTTTTAACTAGGATTAGACTTTCCCCAACGCATTTGTTTTGGTTTTTAGACTTCAGGACCGTGTTCTGGCACCTTTTGTGTTCTCTAAGAAGCAAAGACTAGTCCTCAGCAGCCCCCGCTGTGTAGTGGGCGCAGCGAGAACAGCGCTCCCTGAGTGGGGATTACCGCAGTTAGCGGGAGCTCCCGCTGACCTCTCTGATGCTCCTCCTCTGATCGGGATCGGAGTTTTAGAGCAGTGCGGGAATGCCTTAAGTTTATGTTGAAATGCACCTAACGATTCCCTGGTTCTTTTCAGACTGGGAAGAAGAGCAGGTTAGCAGTCCAAATATTCTACGCCTTATTTATCAAGGACGATTTCTGCACGGAAATGTCACATTAGGAGGTAATGGTCACCTTTGTAATGGGACTTAGTGCCTGTCTTGCAGCAGCATCACTCATTTGTTTGTTTAGATGCTTATGTCTGGTTTTGCTAAAAACATAAAATTTCAAACTCTATGAATTTTGCCTAGTTTTGGTATGTCTACATTTTTGCATTTTGCATTCTAATTTCAGCTCTATGCTTAAGTGTTTACCATCTTGTAAAATAAACTCTTAAGCCATTAGAGATGGGAGTCCACACTTATTATTTTATAAATGTAGTTTAATTTTACTTCTGGATAATGTAATTTAGATGTCATATTTTTAAGTTAAAGCCAGAGACACAAACTTGGTGAAGTTTATGATGGTGGATTTTCAGATATAATAATCAAGGGTTGTTTTCATTTTGACTGTAATTGATGGAATTGCTAATCATGCAGAAATACACGTAAGTGAGTCATGTTAGAGAAACAGGTAAGTATAGTGACTGGAAGAGCAGACCTTAGAGCCAGGTTGTCCATGTTGGAGTTAGCTCCACTGCTCACTGGCTCCTTAACCTTGAGCCAGTCACTTCCCTGCTTGCTGTCCTAGTGTCGTGGTTTCCTCGTCAGTAAGTAAGTTAGAATAACCGTAGTGCCTCCCTCAGAACAGTGCTTGACACCTGTTACACACTTCGTTAGTTATTACTGCTCTTTATGTGTGAATGAAGAGACGTGGCTCAATAGTGCCCCCTCATGGGGGTGCATTTTCTACCATGAGCAGAATTTGTTTTTCTTTAAGTACAAGTATTTCAAATATATTATGACAATTATCAATAGAAATTTGTAGGCAGAGGAAGTGATCTACCTTAATGTATCTTTGTATACATATAGTCATGAGATTTTTCCTCTAAACCTAACAATTGAAGTGTTTAATCTGATCTTCCTTAAAGGTAGGATATTTTCATTCATTCACTCATTCATTCAGCATCTATTTATTTGTTATGTGACAACAGTGCTAAACAGTTAAAGACACAGGATTGAAAAAGATAGACTCTCTTCCTTCAGGGTACTCTGGCATTAGATAGTAGAAGCAGATAAAATTCACTGTTAAAATACTGTGTGACAGGGCTGGAGTAGATGAATGCAAATGATTATTATGACAGAACGTTTCAGTATGTAATTACAAGTGTTGTCCATGGCTGTATTTCACATTCATTGAAAATGGGACTGTATTTTAGTCTTTCTTTGATTTTCTGTGCCTCAGGAAACTCTTGGAATGTCACTGGGAGATGTGGCCTGAATTAACCTATTGACTCCACGAGTGGTGTCTTGAGACTCCACTTCCCTTTAAGTGTTGACCTGTGTGAGCATTTCCTCACCTACTTAATTTAATTACGTCTCTGTTGTGTCCCTAAAGCTCCAACTTCGTGTTAAAGATCATAGAATTTGTGTTAAAATCAAATCATTGATTGTTTTTTGGAATTTGTTTTTGAATGATTAATAGATTGACTTACATTATTTACTGTGTTGCTATCAGTCTTTTCAAAACCAAACCATCTTTCCGGTCTTGTGATTTTGACAAATAACATTAAGAGTATAACCTGGATCGTCTAAGTTGATCAGTAAATCTGGGTAATGACATTCACCCCTTGGGGGGTTTTAGTTACTGTGTTTCTTTGTCTCCTATATTCTTGAATGTGAGTAATGAGAAGACAGTGCACAGGGTCATACGGTTGAATGGCCAGCAAGCATGGAGCAGGCCTGGGCTGCTCTCCACAGTTTGAGGGTTGCTCTGTACTGTAACCCTGCCACCCCATGGGTGTTGGAATCTTCCTTTAAGTGCAGATTTCTGCACGCCCAGTCCATCTCCCTGTCTGCTAGGGGTGTCCCGCCCCCGTTGGCTCCTGTGTGAAGCGTGGGGACCTGTGTCCTGAGTGCTGTGCATTGCCCCAGCAGAAGGCAGAGCCCCCATATGAAGGAGAGAGGGCATCTCAGGTCTCGTGTCCCTCTTCCTTTTTCTGCTCTGATGCCATTAGTGTCAGTGTCTGCTCTTTCGAGTTAAAATTCAGATGGAGAAGAACAGTAACCGTCCCCATTAATCACATGGGTAGCCTGAATCCGTAAGCCCCTCAGCAGCTTCCTAGGCCTGACCACAGTGTTTCTCCACATTTGCATCTCAGTTTGCATACCTCTTCTCTGAGACCCATTTTTCTTGCTGCTCAGAAAGATGAAATAAAATTTATGGGGTGATGCTTTGGGCCAAGCCCTGAGGTAGGCACGTCCCTGGATTGTTTCTTTTAACAGTAGTAAGGGGCAGGTGCTCGAATTCATCTCCCAGTTTGGGTGGGGGAAACTGAGGCATCAGGAGGAGGCAGATAGCACTCAGAAGCCATATCACAGTCCGTGAGTGGCAGGGATGCGCTCTTAACGTAGGGCCAGCTGCCTGCCATCAGGCAGCGGGGTGAGAGTGGTCCACAGCGTGGTGTGTAGACGTTGCAAATTCAGTCAAGCTTTCCCAATACATTTAGTGAAATGTTTGGTAATAGAAAATTTTGTTTGCGTTTCAGTGTTAAAGCAGGCCCAGGAGATTATCCAGTAAGGGCACTCCTCTTGTTTCAGCCTACTGTGTATTTGGGGCCATCATGCTTCACTTCAACTTCGGAAGTTAAGAGAATAGACCAAATAGTGGCTGGCTAGCGTTAAGCGACTTGGCAGCAGCAACAGCGTTAAATAAGGTGGAAAGTCACCTTGATTATATGAAATATTAGGAATGTTGAAGATTATTAGGGCTCTTCTTAACCATCATCCTATAGAGAAGATTTAAAGAGGGGGTGGCAGGAAGACTGAGCTTGTTGAGTACTGATCTGAGCCTGCCTTCAATTTTCCAAATGAGGGGAGTAGATTGAAACTCAGAACTAGAACATTGCAGCTGCAGAAACAGCTCCAGGCCTTAGCTCCACTGTCTGCTTCTCATTTTATACACAGAAGGACAGAGGGATTTACTTTGTGTGACTGGTTCACAGATACATGGGTGCATTATATTACTGTATGTCTGAAATATTTCATAATAAAAATTGTGACTTATAAATGAGAAAAGCCTTTTAAAGGCTTGATTAGAAAACAGTGATTACTAATAATGCCAAACAGTGATTTGTTTATTTAAAGTAACCTTTTAAAGAAAATTGTTTTCTAACTGAAGAATATAAGGTTAAAAATAATAAAATTATGTATTATTATTATGTTTAAAATCATTAATATGTCATTTCTTCTATTTCTACATTGTGGTGACCTCTTTGATGCAGGAATTTTATTAGGTGACTAAATAAAATTAGGTTAAGCAATTATGTATTTTCTCTTTCCCCTTCCTTACACAATATGTTTATATATGTCAAACTAATAGTCATAGCTAAATAATTTCTGAATTACAAAAATTGCTTCTGATAATATTAACCTAATTTAATTATGTAAGAAATGCTGTATCCATTAAGAAGTGCTGTCTGTTGAGGAAGTCACAGAAAGCAGTCAATTTTTAAAGTGGTCTCAATTCTGGTGAGTGATTCCAACAGGTTGATGTATATGTAACAAACTGTCTTCTTTTGACACAGCATTAAAGCTTCCTTTTGGCAAAACAACAGTGATGCATTTGGTGGCCAGAGAGACCTTGCCAGAGCCAAATTCCCAAGGTGAGCCGTGTGCTGGGAGCTTTCTGCCTTGCCCCACAGAGGCAGGCATTCACAAATGGCTCCAGTTCTCTTGGACATTCTGGAGAAAGGATGTTTTCATAGTGTATGGTCAGAGCTCGCTAATCGGATAACCAGGCATTTTGGAAACAGGCTAAAACTAAAAGGGTATTTATTATAGCATTTTAATTTTTAAAAATGCCAACATTAATTAAAAAAAAAAATCCCTGTTTCTTATGCTGGAATCCCTCTGCTTCCCCCAAGCGTCTTTATAAACAAGGCTTCTCTTCATTTTCCCTAGGTCAGAGGAATCGTGAAAAGACTGGAGAGAGTAACTGTTGTGTCATCCTGTAACTGGTCTGCCTGGCGTGGTGTGGCGTGGTCTTTGTGTTTCATGCTGCCAGGCCAGGGGAGACCCGGCATTGCTTCAGAACCTTCAGGAAGAGTCTGCCTGTAGACCCATGGACCTCAACTACCACGTGAACACTGTCATCTTCTCTCATGAAAGTAAAAAGAACCAAGAACATTTTTCACTATGACTTTTTATTTCTAGTAGTTTGTTTATGTTAAGCAGTTTTAAAATATAAATATAAATTGATTTTTGAATGCAAGTCAATCTCCAGGGGAAAAGTTAACAAGTGATTTTTCATAGCAGAAACCATTTTGCTGCCACAAAAGTTTTCATCACCAGAACTAACAAATCAAGTGTTCAAAATACAATTTTGCACTAAAAACGATTGACAATTATTTTCTTCATCAGCAGAATTTATAACATGGTTTATGGTACCTAGAAATACTCATATGTGCAAATCCACACTGGAAGACACTCAGCAATTAAGGAAGTTAATTGCTGGGCCAACTTGAGAGGAAAAAATAGAAAAGAAACTAAAATGTTGGGTGAATTCTACCGAAGTCAGCCATGGCGGCTGCCCTGGCCCAGAATCCTGCCCTGAGCGCTGCTGTTCTCACTGCAACAAGTGAAAAGACACAGTGTGCCTGTTGTTGGAAGTGCTCGGCAGAGGGCTCGTGAAATTAGTTTTTCCTTCACACGTGCGCTTCAGTCAGACTGACTGGGGGTTGTTCACACAGCACAAGAGGGAGAGCGCGCGTCCTAGCCTTAACGCGGGGGGGAGTTCCAGTCACTCGTAGATTTCCTTGATTGCACAGAAATATTAGAAAACCTCATTGATTCACCACTTTTATGTATTTGAATATCAGCAAATTGAATTTTCCATAATTACTGCTCATCTCTGTGTCCCGTGTCATACTTACTCATTAATGAGAGCTCAGATGAATTCTTAAAACTAAAAATTCTCCATAGGACTAATTTTGTTTCTTTATGTAGTTTGCCTTGGGTATTAGTGCTTGCAATTGTATTAAAATCAAAAGCTGATTTTCAAGGCATACTTGATTGGGGATGCCATTCTTTTGTTTTGTACTGATAATTTAAAAATTGATATGCTAAAAACAATTTGCACAGCACTAAAGCATGAGCTAGTTTCATCTAAACCTGTAAAAAAAAAAATATAAAAGATTTTATATTTTTTCACTGGGAAGAAATTCTTCCTGGGTGAAATTGCGAATATGTGTAGAATATATTTAATAAAAACCTCATAAAATACCTAACTATAGAACTTAAATATAGATTGGCGTGTAGTATATAGAACAATATTCCATATAAATAACTCTAGCCTTTATAAAAATGAAGTTGCAGGCTGACATAATGTTCTGTACTGAAACGAGTGTCCTCGGCCCTTACAAGCAGTAAGTATAAATGGTTTCAGTCAGCTTTGTTTAAAGGTAATCAGGTTATTTTATTCATTGTTAATGCTTTGATGAAAAGGCTTTATATGCAGTAGATCTACAAAAATATTGTTCATACTGATCAGAATTAAATTTGTATAGAGCAGAGTTTTAAAATGAATGTAAATAGCACTAAACATTTTCTTTCTGCAACCTGTACTTATAGATTCTTTCTGTACACTAAATAAAAAAATATCATAGTGCATTTTGGTGGTAATCTTAAAGGTCTTTGATTAGGTTGATAGTTGTTTAAGTACTGTCTCATCCATGTTATAATTGTTCAATTTTTATTTCTGAATCTTTAAGAAAATTTGTTGAATATTCTATTGTTAGTTTTGGGAGGATTCCCAGTGTATCTCTGATATTTAACCTGGTTAATTTGTGCACAGTCATGACAATGGGTAGAATTACGTAGTCTCTGTTATCACTAAGATGTTCTATTCGAGATGTTAAGTATTTATATGCTTTGTTGACTGGCTCAAATGTGAATTCTGTTACTGTTGAGTAAAGAAGAATCTGGTAGTTACTTAATTGGGCAATTAAGCCATTTATGGCTATATTCTTTCCTCATATAAACTACTGGTAATTACTTTTAATACCTATTTTAATTCTAATTATTCTTCTGTTTTTCCAAAGTTAAAGACTATCAGTTAAATTATGATTGAAATTTTATGATGGCTAACCACATTCCTTGTTGGTTTTCTATGTATTTTTCTGTGAGTTCCCACGTTATAAATTTCCCTTCACAAGACTGCAATTTGGAGTTTGCAAAATGGATAAACTGGATCATTAGTAGAGAAAGAAATGTGTCACTTAATACCTAATATCATTGTTGTGCAAAATGAAAAAAGAATAAAAAATAGCAGTAAGATTATATACTGAAAACACCAAAAATTTAGATGCCTTAATAGTGTATACATGAAAATGCTCAACTGTCCCTTTTTAAAATATTTCTTGGGACTGCTTGACGGTTAAAATCGATAGCACATCCCAGTGAAGACCCCTCTGCCAGAAGCAGTAGCTCGCTCACCGAGAGGCGAGGGCTGCAAAGGTTCAGCCCTGTGCGCGCAGCCTGAGCTCCGGGCCTGTGACCCTCCCAGCACGCGGTGCGGAAGTCCTGTCTCTTACCTGAGTTGTCCTGGACTGAAGCGTTCTGGGAAAGGCAAAGCTTTTCTCCTTGGTTAAAGCCTCAGCATGTCTCCTTCATCTGACTTATTTGCTTTCTCTTCAAGATAAATTGTATCTTATCATGAAAAGTGTAGTATCTGACATCATCACTCGCATTAAATGAGGTTTCCTCATAACAAACATTTATCCTTAGTTTTATGTCATCTTGACCAATGTTACAGTAATTTCTGTTAGCTGATTGTGGTATATGATGGTTAATGTGAAAAGAAATTAAAACTTTCTCCATCTGTCGTAGAGTATTTCTCTTTTAAATGACTTCTGTTCGTAATTTTGGTGTAAAATTTTGTGTCTCCACTATTTTCCTCTTTTTTCCTTCAGTTTATTTCATTACATTCTTCAGTAAAATCAGTATTGTGTCAGCCCTTTATTTTTCTGTGTTACCTAAACCAAAGAGAAAGTGATCAAGTAAGATTGAGTACGCCTTCACACTGTCCTTATTGGTAACTGTCACAGGCGTTTCTGTAATTTTTTTCCACATTGTTTTGTGATATAGTCACTGGTTAGCCAAACTAGGTGTTTGGGCGTGGGAGGAGGGCTTGAAGGAGCGCACATAGCCTATACTTGTGGTTGAAACCAAACCACAGGCTGCTGGCCGTCTCCTCGGCAATTTCCCTGTCCTGGCAGAGCAGGTCTCTTGACCATGGGCAGTGGGTATTAAGTTATTTTGTGGCTCTTGACAGTGACATCAAATGTCTTGTAATATTATTTTTTATAATTCTGCCTCTTTTTCAAGATGACAACTTTAAAGAAATACACAAAAGGCATTGTAAATTAATGCTGTGAAAAGGGGGATACCAGTCTCTCCTTTGATTCAACCAATAAGGGGACTTCCCTGGAAGTCCAGTGGTTAGGACACTGTGCTTCCAATGCAGGGGTCTGGGGCCTGATCCCTGGTTGGAGATCTCTCATGCCACCTGGTGCAGCCAAAAAAGAAAAATACACATTTATTTATTAATGTAGATCTAGAAGTAATTTGTTTTGAAAACAGAGTGTCTCAGGTAGAGACTTGACTTAATTCTAGAGTGCAGTGTACATTTCAAACATTCAGTATCTGATTTGTATTTTCTACAGACATCTTATTTTGATGGACAGGGAGTCTAGGTTGTAGTAGAAGAAACCTCATCTTAAGTAACGAGGGAGCAGGATGTAGAGGGGAACAGTGCTGACTACAAGCAGAGCGGGAAGGAACCTCCAGGTTTAATCCATGCTGCTCTTTGGTTTGGCCACATGTTCCATGTGATGATAAAAGAGAGAGATTTATTTCATTCTCAGCTGTCTGCTCAATAAGGTGGATTTTCTGGCTTTCTGGAGCCTGCCTCCTCATAGTCCCCCCTTCTTCATCACGCACCATGGTTTTCTCTCTGGGGTGGGAGGTGGGGTTTCTTAACAGAGCTCCACTAATTAGCATGCTGCTTTCTACCAGTGCTTCTCAGGCATTTTAAAAAATTTGATTATTTTAACACATCTCCATCCTGACTACCCCTGCCCCTCAGCCCTCAGAACACAGGTTACCATGCAGGAAAACCGCAGGGCTTCAGGGTCCAGTTCCTTAACCTTTAGGCTTTGGTGGTTTCATGTGTAGAGTAAGAATAATACCTATTTTGTAGGGTTGTAAGGATTATTTTAAGATAAATATTTAGAGCACTGATCGGCCAAAGAACTTACCTGACCAACCCGCAACCCTGTCAAAGGGCCTTCTGTTGGAAGTAGAGGCCAGGCACCCATGTGGTTCTAGACGTTCCAAAGAAGTAGATGAGGAAAAGCAGAGAAAAGAAAGTTTGGCATACAGATCTCTCAAGTAAATATGACCATGTAGTCACAAGTTAAACCATGATGAGGAAGGAAAAAAGACACTGAGAAGATCATCAAGGCAACAAATCAGCTCTCCGGTCTCATAACTTAGAAAGCACGAGCAGACGGGGAGTTAGGCTGCGTAAGTGTCTAACACCTCGGAGAATGATGTTCGCTTGGAATGAGCTGGGTGGAGAGGAAATAAGAAGTACCATGTTTACAGTGTTCGCAAAGGACAGGGCAGCAATATGCTGCTGGGTGTCAACCCTGGCTGCACGCTAGAACCACCTGGGGAGTTTTTTATTTTTTATTATTTTTGGTGGGGGGGGAGTTTTTAAATTTTTCACTTTTTCATGTTAATGCCTGGGCTTCTCACATCAGCTGAGTGAAACCTGAACACTCGTGGCTCAGAATGGTCACCTTGCAGATGGCCAGAAACTGAACCACTTAAAGACCAAAAACACAAAGGAAAATTGGAAAGACTGCAACAAATGGTGTTAAAATAGAAATGGAAATGGGGTGAGAGGCTGGAGATGGAAATGAGGAACTCGGCCGCCTTGGGTTCAACCAAAGCCAGGTGGCCATACTAGGCGGGATTGTAGGAGCCGTTGTGCATGCTGGCTGAGCAGTACCACCCCACGCCCTCCTCCCACCATTGCCCCAGACCCCCTCCTGGGGCATTGTGTCTGGGTTCTCTGCTGGGCCCCATGTTTGAAGGTTCAGTGACACACTTGAGTGTGTCCAAAGGTGACCAACCAGGGTACCGAAGGACCTGGAAATGATGTCACAAGTGAGCTGTTAAACTCCCAAAGGAAAAACAGAAGCAGATAACTTCTCACATGTTTGAAGGTCTGTAATGCAAGGCATGGTACCTCATGTGAGCCGCTGGTCAGAACAGAACTCGGGCAGAAATTGCAAGTAGGCAGATTTTGATTCCGTTTGGTTCTGAACTGCAGAAATGAAAGCAGCTCTTTTTGAGTAGTGAGACTGCTGTTATAGGAAGTGTTCAAGCAGAGGCTGTCGGAAGGAACAAAGGCTCTTTTGTGCAGGCAGGATGCAGAGGAGAGTCATGCGTTGGGTGCAAGAATGGATTAGTTAACAGGAGCTAAATCTGACTCCCTCCTGAATTTCTGTTTCTTTCTGTCCTCTGTAGGATTATTCTCTCACCATACCCCTCATTCATTTCTAGGCACCCACCCCTTCCTTCTCCCCTCCAGTGTGGCCTTTCTTACCAGTGAAGATGGTCTTGGGACCCCCTACATAATTACTAAGACTTCCTTCATCCTCAGTGTCTCCAAAGAACTCATCACATTTTAGCTGAAATGTGACCATCCCTTAGTACAGTAAGTCCCTTACATACAAACGAGTTCCATTCCAAGAAAGTGAAAGTTGCTCAGTTGTATCTGACTCTTTGCGACCCCATGGACTATACAGTCCACGGAATTCTCCAGGCCAGAATACTGGATAGGTAGCCTTTCCCTTCTCCAAGGGATCTTCCTAAACCAGGGATCGAACCCAGGCCTCTCGCATTGCAGGTGGATTCTTCACCAGCTGAACCACAAGGAAAGCCCTCCATTCCAAGAACATGTTTGTAAATCCAGTTTGTCCGTAAGTCCAGAAAGTTAGCTTGGGCACCCAACTGACACACTCGGCTATGTAGTATTGTACTGTAATATGTTTATAGTACTTTTCACACAAATAATACATAAAAATCAAAAAACATTGTAGACTGTACAGTTCCTTGAAAAGTACGGCCGTGCAGGATCCCAGCTGGCACTTCTCAGCAGTGCCAGCTACATCACTACTTCAGATGAAGCCTTCCTGCCAAGGCTTGAAATAAAGATACTGAACTACTGTACTCGGTACAGTGTTGTTGTTCCATCATTAAGTTGTATCTTTGCAACCCGCTGGACTCCACCACCAGGTTCCTCTGTCCTGGGGATTTCCAGGCAAGAATGCTGGAGTGGGTTGCCGTTTCCTTCTCCAGGGGATCTTCCCAGACCAGGAACCGAAACTCTCCTGCATTGGCAGGTGAATTCTTCACGACAGCCACTAGGGAAGCCTCACTGCGTACAGTGCTGTACAGTGAAGTACAGAAGAACACAACCACACCTGACAGTGTACGCCAGACTCAGGAGCTAACTCACCTATTGGGCGTGAGGCCACATGTTTGCATCTTTGAAAGTTCGAAAGTTAAAGGTTCATATGTAGAGGACTTACCGTATATATTTCTGAGCTGAGGTTCCCTAGGGAGTAGAGACTGAGGCAAAGCCTACATGCTAAGGCTTTACTGGTTGTTTTCACCCCAGGACAATAGGAATGAGAAAAAAAATCAGAAATTTGGTAGGCAAAGGGGGAAGGTTACCTGAATGGTAGGGAGTTCAGAACTGGTTTGGGGAGCAGACAGTGTCAAAGTGCAATCATAAAAACGAGAAGGATTTGCAGATCAGCGTTCATAGCAACATTCACAGTATCCAAAAGATGGCAATCACTCAAGCAGGTAAATAGAGAAGCAGAATGTGGTATTGTCAGACAACAGAACCTTAAAAAGGATGGCAATTCTGATGCGTGCTACAACACAAAAGAGCCTTGCAGGTACTATTCTAAGTGAAATAAATCTCAAAATGACAAATAATGATTCCACTTAGACAAAGTACCTTGAATAGGCAAATTTACAGAGACAGAAAGTAGAATAGAAGTGACCAGGGGTTGGGGAAGGCAGGGTTGGGGAGATAGAGACTCAGTTTCAGTTTGGGAAGACGAAAGTGTTCTGGAGATGAATGGCAGTGATGTTTGCACAGCATGATGAATGTATGTAATGCCCCGACTTGTACACTTAAAAATAGTTAATATGGTAAATTATGTCTTATGTGTATTTTAACCTAATAAAAAAAAATAATTATTTCCCCCAGAAATATGAGTAAGCCTTACTCAGGAAAAGGAGCATGGTGAAGTGTCAGAGAGAAAGGTTGGAGTAGTGGCAGGAGTGATGCGATCAAATGGACATGCAAAGGCCCAGACACGAGAGTGGGTGAGCTGGCCAGGAAACTCTTGAGTACCCCCAAGGTGGCTTAGTGGTAAAGTCCACCTGCCAATGCAGGAGATGCAGGTTCAAAACCTGAGTTGGGAAGCTCCTCTGGAGGAGGACATGGCAACTCACTCCAGTATTCTTGCCTGGAAAATCCCATGGACAGAGGAGCCTGGTGGGCTACAGTCCAGGGTGTCACAGAGACTTGGACACGACTGAGCTATTGCGCATGCATGCAGTATGGCTAGAACACCGAGTCCCTGACTTTGAGGGGGAGGACATGAGAAATTTGAGCCTTGAAAAACCAGCCAGGAGCACGATGTGGGGAAACTCTGCAGCAGCACCCCAATTCTGAAATCTGGACTTTTCCTGCAGGGGGTTGGAGCACTGAGATCACCCACATCCACACCCCCAGAAGACACTTGGCCCCTCCAGCCTTTCTACCATAATAAGTTATGAATTACCAAACTGCTTTTGTATTTTTAAAAAGTACTTTTTTATAAAGAATTCAAAGAGTCCTAAAGATGAA